AAAAAAAAAAAGAAAAAAAAAGCTCTAGTTGCCCCATGCTGGATACCTTTATTGATCACTTGCTCTGAGGCAGGTACTTGGTGGATACTAGAGTGAGCTCACAGTCTGGCACAGGAGGGAGCAGAGCTGGGCTGGGCCCCCTTGGTCATGAGCCAACAGGCACCAAACAGACTAAGGAGAGGACTGGTCACACGTGAGCTCTGTGTGTGCACCCATGACATACATGTGTGCGATTATGCACACGTTTCCCCATCTTCCCCCCTCCCATCACCAAGTCACTTTCTTTTTCAAAACCTTCTGACTGTGGGGCCGGAGCCTGGTCTAGAGAGCTGGGTAGCTGGGTGGGTTATTCTCTTAGGACTCAGTGGGATATTTGGAGTTGGAAGTTAAAAAAAATTAAAATAAGCAATTTTCAGGAAGAAGAAACAGCATCATTCTCTTACCCTTGATGCACAAAGAGGAAGTCACATGACTGAGCCAGACCCCCAAAACATAGGCTTTCGATTAACACAGGTTAGTGGACGGTCACTTATGTGGCTTTATCTAAAGTCACAGGAGGACCAGAAGGGCAGGCAATGCCATTTTTGTTCAGAACCCTTGACCACCATGTGGTCTATCCCTAGGGCAAAAGACTTGCCCTTATCGATGGCCGGGATGAATCTCAGGGCCGGCCTCTGTTCACAGAAACCTGCAGTAGATCTATCAGGGACTTAAGGGCTCAGTTCCTGATGGTCGGACGTTTGCATTTTCCAAGTCTATTGGAACACGCAGTTAAGGCAGGGCTTGTGCGAGCACCCTCAGGTTCATGTGCCAGAAAGGAAGCGCTGATTTCAGGAGCGGAAAGGGGACCCTTACCACACCCAAGCCAGGCTCCCTCCCAGGGCCAGAACCTTCAGGGGGCCCACATCCCTGTTCCCCAGCCCCTGGAAAGAAGTAGATGTTGCTAAAGCCCTTGTGGATTAATCAGAGAAAGACAAGGCTTTCTACTCCCCTAAAGAGTTAGCCACAGGGGCAGCTCTACTCTGTCTCACCCAGTCCGCTGAGCGGGAATGGACTCACGGCAGCGAGTTTGGTTTTGGCTGGAGTAGACTTAGGATGGCCAGACCTGGCCTACGCTGGCATGCTCTGTGTCAGCCAGAGCCCACCAGCAGGCAGAGGAATAATGCCCACCCCAGCAAGAGCCTCAGAGGGTGCCAGATCCAAGACTCTCTTTACAGACAAGGCACGGAGGCCCAGAAAGGGCAGGCGCTCATTGAGGACTACTGAGCGAGTGGGTGGCAGGACCACAAGGGCTTTCCTTCAATGTAGACAGCCCCCGCAGGGGAGCCCCGGCGGCGTGTGCCCCTTTTTCTTCACCAGGTGGGCGGTTGACGCTGCCCACATTTACCGCTCTCATTTGACTCTTCAACAATGACCAAGTCCTTGCTAACCATGTGCCACCCCTGCCTCCTCAAACCCAGACGCCCACCCATGGGAGGCGCCTGAGGGGCTGGGACCCCTGGCCAGTGCGCCTGGCGCTGTGGGTCAGCCCGGACCCAGCAGAGAAGCTTCTGGGGTGGTCGCTCCCCTTGCTCAACACCATTCCATCCTTCTGGCTGCTGCTCCAGCACACAGCTCTCCGGAACCCCGGCGGGCGTGGGGACAGCCACATGCGCAGTGGACCCAGGAGCGTGTGGCCTGGAGGGGGCCCGCCTCCCGAGATTTCCAGACGGAGCCTGAGGGCCCTGATGCGACCGACGAAGGCCTTCGCCGTGAGCCATGGCTCCCGGGCAGAGAGACCCCCGGTCCAGGAGTCCTGGACTTGAGCCCGAAACTGGCTGCCCACATGCCCGGGGCCTCCGTCGTGCCTGAAGGCCCCCGCGCGCCCCACCCGCACAGCCCGGGGTCTGAGGACATCTGCAGAAGCCTCCTGGAAAACCTGCCCGCCACGGGGTCCCTTCTGATGGGCGGCCCGTGCAAAGAGAGGCCGGTGGGCCAAGAGCAGGTCGATGAAGACCGTGACATCGACGAGTCCTCGCCCCAGGACTCCCCACAGCCACTGGCCGCCCATCCCCCTGTCGGGCCCCCTCCCCAGGCTGTGCCCAGCCCGGCCAGCGGCCCCCGGGGCTTCCCAGCAGAGGGTGCCATCCCCCTCCCTGTTGGTTTCCTCCCCGAAGCGCCCACGGAGACCCAGGTCCCAGAGCCCAACGTGCCCAGCGCCGGGCTGCCGGCGGAGGGACAGGAGGCCCCGGCCGAGTTCACGTTCCACGTGGAAATCAAAGCCAACGTGCGGGACGCCGGAGAAGGCCCCAAGCTGGATTTGGAAGGAGTCGCCCTGCCACCCGGGAGCCCTGGAGAGGAGCCCGAGGCCCCAAGTCCCGCTGTGGAGGAGAACGCCCAAGAGACCCACCTTCCAGAACCTTCCCCAAAGCATCCTGCAGCTGGGCTGCAGGGGAGGCCGGTCAGCCGAGTACCTCAACTCAAAGGTCTGTGCCTTGAGCGCCCTCGCACAGCCCTGGGGACCTCCTGCGCCACCCAGGCCGCGGGGACCGCCACTGAGCTGCCAGCGCGTCCTTGGCTCCCACCGCTTCTGAGGGTCCCCGGACAGCCGCTGCATCCACCAGGGACAGGGCGGCGCGGCTTCCCTCTGCGCCTCTGGCAGCTCGCTCGCTCAGCTCACGCTTGCCAGGCATTTGCATGCCGCCAAACACCCCCACCCGGTGCTTCCCGCCTCCCTCAGCCATTATTCAGCGCCCTTGACCTGCCGCAGTGGTGGGGCCCGTCAGCCCGCGGCAGGCTGGGGGCCCCCACTCCACAGAGAGCGCCAGGCCTCCCCATTTTTAAGGGCTTACTCCTTGCTTAGAATCCTGACAGCTCTCCCAATGGAGTGTCATCAGCCCCACTTTGCAGATGGGGAACTGAGGCTCAGAAAGTACTTGCAGAAAGGTCACCGGAGAGTTAACTGAAGGTGCCAGATTTAGCCTGCACGGACAGGCACAGCCCTTCCTGTTTGCCATGGTGCCTTCCAGAAGATGCTGAAGGGGTGCCGTGGGAGCACAGAGGAGCAGGCGACCGCTGCCTGTTTCCCTCCTGCGGCAGGTGACATACACCACAAGCATTTGGAAGTGGCCAAGAGCCTAAGCTGAGCCTTTGGCTCATAGCTCCCACCCCCACATCACCGTGCCTTGTTACAGGGGAACCAGTGAAGCCAGTCGACTCTGGTCCAAAGAAACTCCTTCCTCCCTATGGCTCATGCCTCCTTCGCTCCCTGTGTGGGTGCTGCAGAGGTCTCTGCCTTTCCTGAGCCCCGATCCCCGAACCCCAGCTGCCCTCAGAGTCTGAAGAGGTGGGAGAGGGGTGTCAGCACCTCTCTGTCCAGTCACAGAGGAGACCATTTCCAGGAGAGACCTCATGGGCACAGGGCAGGCATTGTAGAATTCTTTGCAGGGCCCAGCATTTAATGCTACTGAGCAATCCGTTGGAAACACTCGTTCAATATTAATTAGATTCTACTTGTCAAGAAACATTTTGAAACCTATATTTTAAAGAACGTTAATATTTTAACATAGCTTATATTCCAGAATATTAGGGAGACGTAACTATAACTTAAACAGTTGACTAGAGTGTTTTCTGAAATGATGGTCTGTCTCAAACGGGCCCACTGCACGGAATCGGGTCTATCAGAGGGAAAGCGAGGTCCAGGGCCTAGGTCTGCACAAGGACACGCTAGACAGATGTAACCAGGGTTTGCTGTGGCAGGATTTCTGAGGCTCGCTTGCCCTGATGCCCCTTGGGACCCTCTGAGAAGGAGGGGGAGAAGGGCTTGTCACATTTATTTGACCCCACCTGCTAACCCCAAATTGGGAAATACTGACCTTGTCGCATGCTTGACACAGTCTTGGCTGGACTCGGGCATCAGTGTCTGAACAAATTCAACTGCTGCTGCCGTGTCGTGGGAACACTTCGGGCTAGAGAAGGAAGCGATACTGGTCCATCTAGAAATCTCACGGCAGACAGGCTCAGGGTTCAGGGGCATAGGGCATGCGTGAGACCAAGGAGGAGAACAGATAACCAACCAGTTCTCATCAGTGGCTGTCCTTCGAAGCGATGCTGGTAGGTGCCTCTCACCAAGGTGTGGTGGCTTCTAAACTCAGAGGCCGGCAGTTTAGTTTTAAAGTCCAGATGTTATCTGTAGGCTGTTGGATGCCTGCTTGTGGCTGATTTGGGGGAAGGAGATACTGATTGCTCAGGAAGAGCAGCTATTCGTCCACTTTCAAGGGGCCCTGGTGACCCAATGGTTAAGAGATTGGCTACTAACCAAAAGGTTGGCAGTTTGAGTGCCCCCTCCTCCTGGCAACCCTGTGGGAGAGAAGACCGGGCACTTTGCTGTTGTAGAGACAACCATGATAACCTCCGTGTGGCTGGTCTGGCACATGGGGTCACTATGAGTCAGAATAGCGACCATCTCCTTCCAAGACCTGTTGTTGGGAAGACCTACCTCAACCATGGGTGGTCACATCTGAGAGTAGTGGGCCGGTGGTGACTGAAGGCCCAGGGCCTGCAGGGCAGCCTCAGGGGCTACAACCTAGCCGCAGGGTATACGATGTTTCATCCAAGCTCACCTGTGCTGGTGGCAGATGGCCAGCAGGAGAAGACCCGGGAAGGTGAGCAGCAGGACCTCTGTCAAGCTGGCAGCATGGGCAGGGGACAGAGAGGTGGTCCCAGTCTGTCCCTAAGAGGCCTAGAGGGTGTTGGCTGCCGGGGAGAGGAGTGGTGTCACCCACCCTGAACCTTGGGCAACAGCATGAGCTGAGGGGGAAGTCTGGAGGTTTCCTAGAGCCTGACCGAGCTTAGTCATCCCTGCCCTGGGCCTTGTGCAGCAGCCCTCTGAAAGCGGGGTTGCCCTCAGCTGCATGGGGCCACCTGGCAGAGGTCAGGAGAAGCCGGTCAGGCAGGTAGTGAGGCCTGCAGTGTGAGGGTGACTTCACCTGCCTCAGACAGCTCCTGGGCCTGAAACGGTTCCTCCTGTGTCCCTTCTGCATGTCCCCACCCTCGGCCAGCCTGCTCTCCCCTCTCACCAGGTTGCTCTGAGCAACACCCAGCTTGCTGTGTTGATACTGACCATGTGAGACCTAACAGATTCAAGCGGGGGAAAAAAAACAACCCGGCTTCCGCCAAGCCCGAGAGCAACGCTGGACAAGCACGCTGCACCGGTCTCGGGAACGTGTGCAGAGCTCTGGCTGCCAGGGCGCGGTGAGGACGGGCCGTAACACACGTTCTCGTGTTCTGTTTTACCAGCTCGCATGGTCAGTAAAAGCAAAGACGGGACTGGAAGCGATGACAAAAGAGCAAAGGTAAGCTGGTGACGCCGAGACACCCCGGTGCTGGCCGAGTTCACTGGGAACATCTGGGTTCGTCCTCACATGCCATACGTGTGGGGCGCTTGTCACGAAAGGACAGCCGCCATTCTGAAGTGTTTTGTATTTGTGTTGCAAGCTTTAAAAAGAAAAAGTCCAACATTTATTCATGGGCATCCTTGTTCCAGGTAAGGGCACCCAGCAGAGTCATGAATTCGTACTCCTTAATGCCATTTTACTGTCATTGTTGACATGAGACCTTCATCCTACATGTAGGGACGTTTGGATTTTCTGTAGTAAAGCTTGGGTTGTTTACATCTGACACGTCCTGCTAGAGATCCAGGTTCTGTCATCAGTATCCATGTGATCCGGGAGGCATAGGAAATACCATCTAATTAGGGGGCTGAGGAAACGTAGAGCAAGGAAGTTCTCGCCAACCTGAGCGGAATGTTCCAGAAAAGCCCTTAGAAAAGAGCAAGCCAGGAGGTCGGCCATGAAGGGAATGCAAATGAGAGTCGGTGGCGCAGGAATGGGGGACCAGCCACGGGGAGGGACACCACGACACAGACCTGGAAATATGAGTGGCCAGTGCTCATTCTAGAACGGTGGGTTGGCTCCGCGGAAGTGAAGTTCCACTTGGAAGGATGGATGTGAGAGGCGGGGAAACTTGATACACAGCTGCAGTGGGGAGCTGAGAAATGTGCCGCTCACCCATCTGGAGATGGCGCCCAGGAGGTGATGGAGGTGCGCCCTGGTCAGCTTCCAGAACCAGCCCAGGGAACCGTGGCCAAGGCTGTCTCCCTGCCCCAAGGCCACGTTCGCAACCAGGCCTCTGAGGTTGTTCCCTCCCTGGTGACTTGGAACCTGGAAAACGCTCCCGTAGAGTTGTTGTTGCTTTTCCCCCAGGAAAATCCCACCCTGGCCTCAAGGGAAGACCTATTTTCCTTAAGGATAACTGGGATTTTCCCCACATAAATTCTGCCTGAAGCATTTGGGCTTTAGCAAATCCTGGAGCCCCGAATGTGTCTCCGATGGCAGATGGGAGCTGGGCAGAGTGGGGTGGGCGTGGTGTTCAGGGTCACTGCCTGAACACTCTGCTGTGAACAAGTCTGGCTCGGCTACCCCGGGCCCCGGTGAGGCAGCTGAGGGCCCTGCCGAGACCTAGAGGGCTCTGCCCTGGAGAGTTGGAGGGGTCGCAGGAGCTTCTGGTCATCCGTACCTGCCTCCTTCATGTGTCGATTCCCTCATTCAGTATACACTGGCCAGGTGTTGCTCACAGGCTAGTCAGGGGCAGGTTGACCGCAAACCTCAGCCAGCCCACCCCCCACCTCGTCCTCCTTGTCACCAGCCTGTCTCTCTCTCGCTCATCACTGCCCATCCCTGGGGTTCTCCTCGCCAGGCAGGCCACGGAGAGGGCCTCGCCGCTTCAGCTGGGACCCCAAGGGGCAGTGAGGACCCAAGTGTGAACTGCCTAGTAAGGTTTGCAGTCTGCTCTGCAACGGCTCCCTCCCTGGAGCCCCGCTAGTCTTAGCTTCTCTGCTTTAATTCCCGAAGGCGGGGCCCTGCCCTCCCCGGCCCACTCTTCTCCCGGAGGGCCAGGGTCCCCATCCATGCCTTCCAGAAGCAGTTGGTTCAAACCACAGGTGTCAACCGCCACCCACCGTGTCCTTTCTGTGAGCCTCTGTGGCCTCCAGCCCCACCCAGGCTGTTGCCTTTCATGGACCGTATAGATTCAGAAGTTAACATTGGATTGACATCAGAGCTGGATTTCACGGGATGGATTCAGATGAGCTTTATTTGAGACTTTCATCAGAAAGAAAGTACGTGTGTGAGAGAGAGAGAGAGAGAGAGAGAGGACGAGAACCTACTTGGTGCCAGGCAGAACCCCTAACATTTCGAATTAGAGAGAGAGAGAGAGAGAGAGAGAGAGAGAGAGAGAGAACGAGAACCTACTTGGTGGCAGGCAGAACCCCTAACATTTCGAATTAGCACAGCGCTGACATTTGCAGTTCTGATTCTGTCACGGTGGAAGAGGGCCAGGTGAGCAGGCACACGTGAACTCTCCTCACTTGGAACAGAGCAGAAATTGGGGTGCTCCTGGCCCAGCACCCATTGGAGATGTCTTCTCCATCAACTTGTTGGGTGTGAACTTCCTGTACACCAGTGGTCCCCAAAGAAGGGGGTCCAAGATGATCCAGTGAGCTAGCGAGAGGACATAGTAGAACTCTGACCCCTGGATCCTCCTCTTAGCAAGTTCCAGCCATGTGTAAGCGTCCCGATGCCCATCATCTCTGGGCACGGCAGTCTGAGGATTGAACCGACACCTACCTGCATGTCCAGCAGGGGGTGGTGTTGCTTTCTCGGCTTAAGGGTACGTGCTGCGAACCGCTGGGAGATAGAGCACAGCTTTAAACCTTGACCTGCCTCGCTTACTTTTAGTCACTGTCCTTTTTCAGTTTGTTTCCCTCCATTATGTGCTGACTTTTATTTTGATTTTATTTATGTTTATGTTTAAGACATCCACACCTTGCTCCGCTAGAACCCTGAACAGTAGGCCTTGCCTTAGCCCCAAACGCCCCACTCCTGGTAGCTCAGATCCTTTGATCAAACCCTCCAGCCCTGCCGAGTGCCCAGAGCCATCTTCCTCTCCTAAACACGTCTCATCTGTCACACCCCGAACCGGCAGCTCTGGAGCAAAGGAGATGAAACGCAAGGTAAGGACACCACCTTTGACAAGCGCCCGGCAGCTCTCAGGCGGTTCTCCGGCGTCGGCTGTCGGTTCTGAGGTCTCCCGCTGAGACCTTTCCACAGAGAGGCTCGCTCATGGAAGCTCCATGTGGAACAGATTCATTTCTGGTCCAAGAGGGGAAGAAAAGGGATGGGAGTCATGCTTCTCAGCTGCCCTTAGCCTCTCCCAGCTCCAGGGGGGACCCTGGTTTGAAACATGGGAACCCATCGAATTGGATGCCTTCGTCCATTCCCGTCTTCAGAATGGGAAACATTTCCAGATTGCCTTGATTTGGGTAGGGCAGCCTCACTGTGCCCCAGCACCTGCCTTCCTAGTCCATCCGCCCTCCCGAACCATCTGGAGGACCTTGGTTAACACCAGTCGATCTGAGTTTGTATGATGTCTGAAGGTCAGCTACCCGGCCACCAAGCCCAGCAACTGGCCCTGACCAGTAGTCTGCTGTGCCAACACTCTCTGCAAACCTTTGGTCCGTGTCATAACTGATGGCGGGGGTCCATCTGCCCAGGGCTCCGAGCACACCTCACACCATGGAAGCCTCAGGGTAGCTCAGAGGAGAACCAAAGAAAATGGCCTAGCTCCATTCTAAGCTCGTGGTCAAGTTGAAATATAGCTCCATAAACCGAGTGCCTCTGGGGAAACCAAGCACCACTCACATCCACCCATATTGACAGTCAGAAAACCCATGACCACTTTGGCACAGCCCACCTGCTCACTGAACACTGATGAGTGGGTCATGGACCAGATCATTTTTATAAGTCTTATCGCCTTCTGATAAAAACACATTAGCACCGCTCATGTTGATCATGAATGTAAACAGTTCCTCCAGGGGCATCTGTGGTCTGGGCACCTGGTGTGTGGGTGGAGCTGTGGGCTTGCGTGCCTGGCAAACCCTTTTGACAGCAGAAGACATGCGCTCCACCTATTAGACACAGGGTCACTCCCAATCTTCGCCGAGTTTTGCAACACAGCAAGAGCGTGGGGCTGGCATTTAGTGGCAGGAACATTTTCCCAGCGTCAAAACCACTGTGCCCTGATTCCCTTTACAGGGGGCAGAGAAACCTGGAACGAGGATCGCCACACCCCGGGGAGCCGCCCCTCCCGGCCAGAAAGGCCCAGCCAATGCCACCAGGATTCCAGCGAAAACCACCCCGTCCCCAAAGACACCGCCCAGCACTGGTAAGAGAATGTTCCCTTGACTTCACCCTCTATCAAGCCTGATGGTCTGAGGTGAGTGGTCAGTACCGCTCCCATCTCTGAGAGGCATCCCATTCTGCTCGGCGACCCACGTGTTCCATAGGGGAGGTGCTCCGTGGGATGTTCCTGGTTGTAGCCTCTACGGAAGCCACAGCTGCTCTTGCCCCACAGGGTGGGTTCAAACAGCAACCACAGGAGCTTCCCCCCTACCTCTGAAGGCCCCTGGACAGGAGGAGCCCGTGGGAGCTGGTCAGCACCTGACCCAAACACGGCGGGCAGCATTTGTTTTCATTTTGAGCCTTGGACAAGTTTCTGAGGTGGAGATCTGTGGCCACTGTTGGTGGTCACAGCACAGCAGCCTGGGTGACCTCACACAGGGCACGGCCACTGGGCAGCTTAACTTGCTGGGGGTGTTCTGATCCCTTTAGCAAGCCTGATAGCCCTAGATGAGTTGTCTCACTGTGTGCCCCTTCCTGACATTTTTGAGTACCAGCAGCAGGACTCAGTCCAGTTGCTTTTAGCCAGTTTGCTTGTAAGAATAACAGCCCGTCTAAACCGCACCCCCCAGAAGTGCCCACTTCCATTGGGTTGATTTTGCCTCATAGACCCCCTATAGGGTTTCCAAGGCAGTACCTCTGCGTCAGAGGGGCCAGCCTCATCTTTCTCCCTGAGAGCGGCTGATGTGTTTTTTGAACTTCTGCCCTTGAAGTCAAGCAGCCCAGTGCTTACCGGTTGCCATCGAGTCGATTCTGACTTGTGGGGACCCCCGTGTGTCAGAGGGGGACTGGACTCCAGAGGGGGTCAGTGGCTGGTTTGGGGGAAGTAGAGTGCCAGGCCTTTCTTCTGGGGCATCTTTTTTTTTAGGGGGGCGCTTTAAATTTTCAGCCCTTCAGTTAGCAGATGAGCTTGGTAATCATTTGCACCACCCAGGGGCTGCGAGTAAGAATGTCCACCTGCCGTTTAGGGACAGCCAGGCTGAGCACTTCCCTCCTCACCTGCCGGGGTGGGGGGGGGGGGACTTAGATTCTGCACTGTGGGGTGCCTGCTCCATGGAGGAGCTCAGGCAGCCAGGGCTCTGGGTACGGGCTGCCCCGTGGAAGGTCAAGTCTCTGTTTCTCTCAGCCTGAGGTAGGGCTCAGAGCTCCGGAGCTGCTGTGTGGCCTTTCCACACACGTTTACTCGTACGATTTAGTGACATTCATTGTGTGCGCCCTGTGGTGGAACCATCACCACCCAACGTTTCCCATTTTATTGCATCCCCTCCCCAAAACTCCGCCCCACTCAGCAACAACCCCACCCCACCCCCCTGCTTCCCTTGGTGTCCTCTGTCCACCTGCCTGCCTAGATATGTCACATACATGGAGCATGCTTGATTTGCCCTTTAGAGGTGCACCTCATCACTCAGCGTGGCTACGTCCCCAGGCCCGACCACTCCGAGGCTCAGAGCCACCCTGAGCTTCATGGAGGGGCCACACTGTGTCATCCACGCATCTGCTAATGGGCACGGGGCTTGCCCCCCTCTGTGGCTCTTGTGATCTTCCCAGCTCAGGGACAGGAGCCCAGGTCTCTCCTCCCCCACCTGCTTCTTCCCAGAACACACCCCGGCCAGCCTCCCTGTGATGGCCACGGGCATGTGAAGAAGGCCTGGCCAAGGCCATGGTCAGCTTGATTGTAATGAGGCTCTCTATGGGTTTTTCCTTTGAAGCTACCAAGACAGTACAGAGAACAGTAGCCCCCGTGGGGAAACGATCCATAAGAGGTAACTCGGGGTCTGTACCCCACCCACTCTGCGCCCGTGGCTGTCCTGTTGGCTGCTTCTGGTTTCAGGGCTGGGACGCGCCTGCTTCTGAGCCTACAGTTGGGGCAGGCTGGAAGGCCCCTGGTGTGCTTTGTTTCTGGGCCTTTCTAATCCCCAGTGTGCTCACTGACTCCTGGGCTGAGGGTTATTGGGGTGGAGGAGGAGCAGCATGTGCCTGGAGCCCCTGGTGGAGGCTTGGCCTGTTTCTAACCGGGGTTTGGCGTGTGTCATGATTTCCTGGGGCTGCTGTAACCCAGTGCCACCAAGGACGTGGTGAAAAATGACAGATGTGTATTGTCTCCGTTCCGAAAGCCAGGAGCCTGAATTCGGGGTGTCCCCACTCGGATGGCTCTTTAGAAAGGTCCTGGGTATCTCTCCCAGCACTGGGCACCCCAGTGCTCCTTAGTCTGCAGCCTCAGCTTCCATCTTCACACAACAAGACGGCTTCCTTCGACCCACCCTGCTCTGGCCTGGCCTCATGTTAACTGAGGTCTTCAAAGACCCTATATCCAAACAAGGTCCACGCTCAGGTCCCCGGGTCAGGTTAGGACTTCAACATGTCCCGGGGAGACATGCTCCAACAGACGACTCCCAGGGGGCGCCCACATATCCCCTGGGGCTCTTACAGCTTGCCTTCAGATCACAATCCTGAGGGGTGCCTTGTGCTCCCTGTTTTCCAGAGACTTGTCCCAGGCCGCTCTGACGTGGCGTGACTGTGAGAGGGCTGAAAGCCCCCAGGCTACCCCGCGTCCTTGGAGAAGGAGGGCTGAGAAGGCAGGGAGAGAGGCTGCGACAGGGAGGCAGGATCCATCTGTGGGGTCTAAGTGGGACATGAGCAAATCCTTCAGGAGCCCTGCCACCACCTGGTGACTTTAGGATTATCCAGCAGGTGCAGAAGTTGACGGTGTGGCACCTACGCTGTAGTTGACGGGAAGCGCCATTGATTCGCGGCACTAAGAGCTGTCCTTCTCCAGGATGGGGTCCAGCAGGTCCCACGTGACAGAAGAAGTGGACATCCTGGGGCTTAGGGGTGGACATGGCTACAGGAAGCTGAGATGCCAGCAGCGGACCTCAGCCAGGCAGCTTCTCAGCTGGGGCCCAGCCTGGAGTCCAGGGATCCCGCCCGGGAGCTTGGAGAAAACCAGTCGTGTAGGCCCCAGCCATAGAGGTTCTGACATGCCAGGTTTGGATGGGGTCCAGGAATCTGCATTGTGAGGCCCAGGAGCCACACCTGGAGAATGGCCCCCGGAGGCCCACAGAAAGGCCAACTACTGATGAGTCAAGGGGGCCGGGGCAAAGGACACCCTGAGGCCTCTAGACCAATGGGGAACAGGGGTTCCCCTCGCTTGTTGTCCGGGTGCTGCCTGTGCTGTGCTCGGACAAGTGTGTGGGCATGTGCCTGCACCGGCCTGGAGGAGGGCACAGCAGGGCAGACACAGTGGCATGAGACCACCTGGCTGGTCTGGAAAGCTGAGGATAGTTAGGGTGGGGCATGCAAACCTTTGTGGACCAGGCACGGAAAGGGAGTTGGGGAGCCTGACCAGGGGCCCCAGAGAAGAGGGCCTTGAGCTTGCTGAGAGCTTGCACCTCCCCGGGTGGGCACGCAGCGGAACGGTTCCCTGGTCATCAGGATTCAGGTGCACTCAGAGAGGGCAATGACTGGCCTGGGTCCACGCAGCAAGATGGGGCCTTCTCTGACCCCAGTGCGGGTGGGTTGGAGTTGGTCGGGTCTCTGGCAGGGGGTGTTGGGTGGTCTCCGATGCCCACTCTGCTCTTCTGGGGACGGGGTGTCTCTGGCTAAGCGATGAGGCAGGAAGGAGAAAAGCTTGCCAGAAACGTCTGTTCCCACCGACTTCCTCCAACTCTGCGGCTGGGCCAGACCCCCAGGACGCCA